TGTGCCCCTTTAAGGGGTCCGGGGCTGGGAGGGGGGCAGTAGAGTTTCCCTGGTGTTGGCCAGAGTGGCCACCAGGGAAACCTGGGGAGGGCTAGCCTCCCACTAGTTCGAATTAAGGGGCTACACAGCCCTTAATTCGAACTAGCAAGTTCAAACTAGGCTTAATCCTCGTGGAATGAGGTTTACCTAGTTCGAACTAAGTGCTCCATTAGTTCGAATTAAGTTCGAACTAACGGAGCGCTAGTGTAGCGCCTATGAAAGTTAGTTCGAACTAACGTCTGTTAGTTCGAACTAACTTTGTAGTGTAGACATACCCGAAGATAGGCATGACAACATAAGTAGGAATAACTATCTGCCCCAATTGCATGCTTTTCCAAGACACTTATTGTGTACTTAGGGCAACCAGCCCCTCACACTGGTTGTACTGCCACTGTTACACTCTATTTTTAGTGCATTAGCTCTTATCAAGCTAGTGAGAGTTTCTCCCGTTGGGCTTAGAATCCCTCCACCCCTCAGTCTGAAGTGTAGACATACCCACCATCCTGCAGGAGCTAGTTAAGGTTGGGTAACACAGTTTAAACACTCTGCCATCATCTAAACATTTCAGTACGGAAAATACAGAAAAAATGGCCCTAGATTCCTCTGAAAACAAGATCATGTCTCTCACAGAAATAATCACATTGCACCGAGGGGGTGATTTTTAACATAAGCCTCTGCTGAAAGTTCTGTAACTATTTGTATTTCCAGAGCACTGCTGTCAGAAGGTTGGAAAAGATAATCTAAAAGGAGAAGCAACAAGTTAGGCTGACTGGCCTGTGATTCCCTGGTTTGTCCTTATTTCCCTTTTAAAAGATGGGCACTATGCTTGCTCTTTTCCAGTCTTCTGGAATCTCTCCCATTTTCCGTAAGAGGGATAATCACTATTACTTACCAGTCTTGCAGAAGGGTTGCGAGGTTTCACTGTCTAATGTTTGCTCAGTTCTTAGAAATTATAAAATATTTGGATTGGTAAGTATTGTACTTTCAATGACATGCTGATGTTAAGTAATACCTCTCAATAACACAGGATGTTGTCTCGTGATTGACAGAAGAGGAATATGTTTGCCATTCTCCATTTGGTAGCTCCCTCAGTTGCACGGTGAAGTATCGTATTGGTGAAGACCCATCACTACCAGGAATCCAGTGTAGTTGCAAGCTCTTTGAAGACACCTCAGATTGGGGTATCCTGAGTTCTCTCGGAGGCGCTGGCCGCTCTGCAGTTACAGAAACAACTGGTATTACTGTGGGAAGAAACAAGCTAGCACAAATCTAGAAATGCACATGGAACTTCCCAGCGGTGATGCTACAGACTACTGAGCTGCTGCTTTTAGATTTGCTACATGAAATAGTGAAGCAAACATTTGGGACCATATTTCAAGTTTCAGCTGCAAAGAGGAGTGTTATCAAGGATCACTGTCTCCCTAGGAAAAATAAACACCTCTGGGTGACCATGTCCTCAACTAGCCAGATAATGAGGAGCAAATCTTGGAATCATTATATTTATCTCTCTAGAGACCAGAGAATATTTTCACCCTCTCTACCCACCTCCTTGGACAAAGAGTTGCTCCCTTGCCCAGCATGCATGGGAGGAGGGGATGCATCAGAGCGTGGTGGTCAAATTTCACTATGCCTAGTCAAAGATCTGGGAACCACAGCCATCTTCCTGTGGCAGGTGCTGTCCACAGTGCCAGAGCACAGCTTGGTAGAGTGGAGAGCTGGAGTCTAAGTGCTTAATTCAGCACACTGGTCAGACCCACCCTTCCTTTGTTTACACTTCTTGACCTTGAATCTGCAGAGGCAAGACAGCTCGTCCCAGCACAGATGGGGAACTATCTAGAGCAATTAATGCTTAACATCTTTCATAGGAGGTAAGAAATGGGAATGCAGGTTCTGCAGAAGCCATTACCTAACTGTTTGAATATAGACCTCCTCTCCCTTGTCAGTGTATCTCCTCACCCCATCGATTTCAATAGAGAAACTCAATAGAGTGAGAAATAATTGTTTAATTGTTTATCATGAAGTTTATTGATTCTGATTAAAATGTGTGGCATGTAATAAAGCAGGAATTGATTGGAGACACCACAGTGACTTGCCTTCAAGAAGTGATATGATTCAACTTAATCAGCACTTGTTTCCATAAACACACACCGCTGACTGCATGATTCTCCTTGCATTGTAGGAAGAGCACTTCGTTCCTCCTCCCCCATCCCAACTCAAAACATTTCCTTTATGGCTTGGCATTTCTCTATAGCACGCTCTTGCTGATGCATGAATGCCAAAAGAATTGTAAGCTATTAGCCACACACAGTCTGCAAGTGCCAGTAGTGTGCATCTCAGAGTTAAATGCGAAGGTCATTGTCTTGCCCTGGCAGCACTAGACAGGTGTTCAGGGTTATTTTATCAGAGGAAGTGAGTACCTAGTAAAGTGTTGCAGGGGTTTAATACTCCGATCTGGTAAACTTTAACCACGTTGCAGTGTTAGGCAGCTCATACCCTATATCCAGTCCCTCATGATAGGATTTCAGTCTGTTGTCAAAGTCCTGACCCATTAGTGCCTTCCTTTTCTTCAAATAAATTCCCTGACTTTCAGGGTTATTTTATCAGAGGAAGTGAGTACCTAGTAAAGTGTTGCAGGGGTTTAATACTCCGATCTGGTAAACTTTAACCACGTTGCAGTGTTAGGCAGCTCATACCCTATATCCAGTCCCTCATGATAGGATTTCAGTCTGTTGTCAAAGTCCTGACCCATTAGTGCCTTCCTTTTCTTCAAATAAATTCCCTGACT